AAAAAATTTGATTTTTTTTTTAAAATTTAAGTGTAAAATATTTTGTGTCCTTTTTTTTTTTTTTTTTTTGGGTAAAAAATGCATTTGAAATAGGGACTTGATGGAGAATGCGTAGTTAACAAATAAAGAAAAGTTTTAGATTTGAGTGTAATATTATTTTAATAAAAAATGCGTGGTTGAAATAAGGTGGAGAAAAATGTATTTTGAAAATAATGGATACCAAACAAGGACTTTAAATGTGGAAATGTGTTACTATTTAAATTTTCTAATTCTCAAAATATTATTTTTTTTAATTTGAATTTTCACCTACATTTTTTACACGGTTGTTACGTTATCATACAATTTGTTTACTGTTATCACCTTAATCGTCAATAATTTGTAATAAAATGTGGTACATTCGTAATACTCAATCTTCATATCATCTTCGCTATCGTCATATCTTGTTATGCTACCGTCATCATTGTCAAAAATTGTAGGCTTTGATCGCTTATAACATATATTGACTCTTTTTGGTGTAGATTAAAATTTGATGAAAATCTTGTGTCAAATTTAAAAATTAATTTAACTACATATTTTACGGGATCCATAACTTTCCAATTATACATTTTATTCACTTTTATAAAAAAATAAATCAACATTTAATTTTAATATTGACCAAACAGGGGCATTGTTGCTATGTACCACCGCCTGCGCGATTAGAACAATCTAGATAAGTGGTTAAATAAGGGCTCACAGCTCACTATCCCAATTTTCTCATTCCCGCTCAAATTTCCTCCCTCAGTCTCATTTCTCTAGCTTCAAGGAAAAACCACGATCAAAATCAAGTGCTCTAATCAGGGCAAAGTGCATCTCAAAAAAGAATTTGCATTCCTCTCCCCGAGGATTACTGCCACTCTGAAATGGAACCGGACAAACACGGTTCGGGTTCCATTTCCTACACAGATCATGTCAAGTGTTGTGAGGTACATGAGGATGCATGCCAAGGCTGATGCTACAGCCACAAATTTCGAATCCGCGGTTGAAGACTTGGATTTACTCAACTACGAATACGAACAATTTGCTGGAAATGATCTGCACCATTTGTTCTTGGTACAGTGTTTTTTTAATCAATTTTTTAATTCAATTTAGTCCTGTTCTAGAGAGAATGCGGCTGTACCTCAGGTGTCGATGTTGTCGGAAATTCGACTACCGC